TTGAAAATGGTGCGGAAGATGAGGCCATTTTTACCCATTTTGTCTTCCCATTTATTTTTTTGTTCACTTGGCTTAGAAATATCGTCTGGGAATTTACCTAAGCATCGTTTGAAGATAATTTGTAATAGTTAAAAAAAGGACAGTTCAAGACACCAAGAGATGACAACGTGAAATTTTGTCATAAAGCCATAACTTAAAGTCATTTCTAGTAAAAGAAGGCTTCCTGAATTTCTTTGCAACTCATACTCCAATCAACAATTTATAACTACAATAACAAGATTATGCACAAAACCTCTATTTCAATTAGCAATTTTTTATAAAAGAAAACATGAAATAAATAAGTGAATGAAGAATAGAATCACTTACCACTGCACAAGTCAAGCCCCAGCAAACAATACTTCATCGGATGCTTCTGGTAACAGTAATAAATGCACAAAACTGCCATTACAACAAAAATTTAACAAATAAAACCAATCAAATCCATAAATCGGAAACCCACTTCGAATATTTGAAACAATCTGCAAAAGAAATAATAATCATATAGAGCAATAATTAGAAAAATATTTGAGGGCATAAATATGAAAACGTGTACCAAATTGTGCCCAGATGAAAGAGTGCCGACCCAACCGTGTAACAACCCGGACCTCTCGCCCAAATCGTTAGCTTATGTACTATCCGCTTTGGGTGAGCCTTGCGCCCACTTATCCCTCACGGCTTTTTCTTCGCGTCCCCCAGGATTAGAACTCTTGACCTCTACATAAGAGAGACTTAAATTGAATCCTGGTACTAATTGGGACAAGTGGGCGTAAGGCTCACCCAAAGCAGACAGTACGTAAGCTAACGGTTTGGGCGAGAGGTCCGGGTCGCTACAAAAAAATGTGCATTATTTTGTAACGACCCGACCTCTCGCCCAAGTTGTTAGCTTACGTACTGTCCACTTTGGGCGAGCCTTGCACCCACTTATCCCTCACGGCTTTTTCTTCTCGTCTCCCAGGATTCGAACTCTTGATCTCTACATAAGAGAGACTTAAGTTTAATTTTGGTATCAATTTGGGTGAGCTTTGCGCCCACTTATCCCTCACGACTTTTTCTTTTCGTCTCCCAAGATTCGAACTCTTGACCTCTACATAAGAGAGATTTAAGTTGAATCCTAGTACCAATTGGGCAAGGCTCACCCAAAGCGGACAGTACATAAGCTAACGGCTTGGGCGAGAGGTCCGATGTAACACTAAGAATTTTAAATTTTTCCACGTGGGCTGGTAATTTAGCAAATAAAATAATTCATGTCCAACATTGTCGTTACACTAAAGTCGAAAATTTGAAGTGATAAACACGTCCCACTTATTTGCATAAATTGTTTATTTCGCAAACATATATTTTTAATTTATCGTAACTTATTTGGGTCGTTACATGAAACACTCCGAATTTTAAATTTTTCCACGTGGACTGGTAATTTAGCAAATAAAATAATCCATGTTCAACATTGTGGTCACACTAAAGTCGAAAAGTTAAAGTGATAAACACATCCCACTTATTTGTATAAATGATTTATTTCGCAAACATATACTTTTAATTTATCATAACTTATTTGGGTCGTTAAAAGCCCAATTGGTACCAGGATTCAACTTGAGTCTCTCTTATGTAGAGGTCAAGAGTTCGAATCCTGGGTGACGCGACCAAAAGCCTGAGGGGAAGTGGGCGCCAGGCCCACCCAAAGCGGACAGTACGTAAGCTAACGGCTTGGGCGAGAGGTCCGGGTCGTTACAAACCGCAAAAGGATGAAGAATAGTGGTGTAGTCATTGTTTGATTTTCTCGATGTTTTTCTTTCGCTTCCATCAAATCAAGTCAGAAGAAGAGCAGATGAATGATCGTTGGAGAAAAAAATGGAAACGATATGGTATTAGGTATGCTATCAGTCGAAAATAATAAAAAAGAAAAGGGTACAAAAAATGACACCATTTTCTTTTCTTGCACAGTAACTTCAGATTAGTTTACTGTTCATTTAACGGTAGCACATTGTTCCCATTTTTAAGAAAAGTTAGAAAATGCTCTTCATAGTTATAGCTAACTTTGAAGGGTAGTTCAGTAGTCAGACTTTAGATTTACTGTCTAATGGTCATCAATTTGAGTTCTCTCAAAGCCACTGGTATAAGTATCTAAATATAAACTTCACAGCTCTGTGGAATTAGTCGAGGTGCACGTAAGTTGGTCCAAATACTCATATAAAAAAAATAGTTAGAGCTTTTAGTGGAACTTCGTTCAATGTGGATTTTGTTTGATTGATATCGAAAATATCACCTAAAAAAGAAAGTTTTTTCCTGTGTTAAGCAAAATAAAAATCTACTCTTACAAAGAAAATATTAGCCTTAAAAAAAAAGGAAAATTAGGCATAATTTTAAATTTTGGAAAATATTTTCAATGAAAAAATATCAATCAAATATCCAAAATAGAATTTTGGATGGAAAACTTGATATTTTTCATGAAAAATAAATGTGATCAAACACACCCTAAAGTGCATTTAATAGTTCTAACTTCTAAGTTTATGCTTTTTAGATTTGGATATTACACACAAAGTAACTACTATTTACTTCAATGCTTTAAACAATATGATACTTTGATACTACCATTGAGAATTGTGATCAATTACTGATTCATCCCTAAAATATTGAATTAGAAAATAATTGAAATACATTAAAATATTAAAAAAAGATGAAAATAGTAATAAACAATTTATTAGATGAAAAATAATTACAATATATAGCGTTTCTCGACACTTAGCTCGAGTATCGTAAAAGAAATATTATGCGTATTACCATACCCACAATATTTTACTTTTTGTACAAATCATAAGAAGAACAAGAAAATCCCTCGCATGCTAGACTATTTTTTCCTTTATGTCTTGTATGGTCAATAAAGAGGGAAAAGAAAAATTATTTTAGAAAAAAAGAAAATAGCAAAGTGGTTGTATAGCCCTCCTTTGAGCACATAAAACATGATGCATCGTTATTAGGGAGTAATTCCGACGAATTAGCCAAATTAGAATAACTATTCAAAAATTACAAAAGGAACAAGAAAGCAAGTAATTACTCTAAACACAAAAAATAAAAACTATTAATTCTCTTTAAGTACAAATTATTACTTCTAATAAGCATTTTGCTTATTCTACTATAGGAAACTTATTTAATATAAATTATTTATTTTGAAGCTAATCACTATTCTAGATCTAATAAACTAAGGTCACTTCTTTTAAAATAAAATAAGGGGTAATTGGCACAAAACGTCTCTACCTTTCAAGTGTATTATGAAAAATATCCATACCTTTCATTTTTTGGCACAAAACGTCCCCACCTTCCACTTTCTTGGCGCTGAACGTCCTTTTCATCAATTTTTGACGATTTTACCCTCCATTCAAATAAAACAAAAAGAAAAGAAAGGAAAAAAAAAATAAAAAACTAATTGCAACCACATTCCCAAATTTTCTAAAAATTGCAAATGGTAATTTGATAATTACTATATTAAATAAATTGAAAAAAAAAACAAAAAATTAAGAAAAAAATAAAAAAATGGGTTGTCTTCTTCACCACACCCCACCCTACCATACAAAATCTCTCTGCACAGCAGCTCATACAAGAGCAGGACTTACACTGGCGGAGGGCTGCAAACTGGCGACATAGTCACGCGCCCACAAGTCGTAATGTGCGATTTCTTCAAGGGACGGTGAGGATACCAATTTTTCTTGATGCTTACCACAAGTTAGCTCCACTACTTTGAAAATTTCCAGGTAGCTAATTCTGAAACAAGAAAACAAATTATTAGTAGCAATTTCATAGCGAATGTAGGGCAGCATTTGCAGAGTTGAGAGTAGATGACGAATATGAAAAGCACGAAGTGTAGAATTGCATAACATCAACTTTAAAAATGAAAAAAATCTATAAAAAGCAGTGTAAGTTTGGTCACTACGGGCATAATCTAGTTTTTCGTTTGATGATTATATGATTGTCTTGCTGTGATGTGAAGTTAAGCACATCAACTGCCCAGAGTAGATAGTTTTAGCAGCCTTTCTCAATGAGACTCGAGTTGGTTTGATTAAGGGATCCCAAAAGGTCGACGATTAGGTAACAAAAATGGATCTGTTTTAACAATCTCAACCTTTCAGATTTGGACGATTTGTTGTGCAAAGAGCTTTTGNTTAAATTTTTTTCTTAATTTTTTGATTTTTTTCAATTTATTTAATACGGTAATTATCAAGTTACCATTTGCAATTTTTAGAAATTTTGAGAATGTGGTTGCAATTAGTTTTTTGTTTTTTCTTTTCTTTTCTTTTTGTTATTTGAATGGAGAGTAAAATCATCAAAAATTGATGAAAATGACGTTCAGCGCCAAGAAAGTGGAAGGTAGCGACGTTTTGTGCCAAAAAAGAAAGGTATGGATGTTTTCCACAATACACTTGAAAAGTAGGGACGTTTTGTGTCAATTACTCTAAAATAAGTAACTTATTGCTTATAAGTTAATAATAACGCAAGTCAAAGTAAGCGTGCGTTTGGATTTTTTAATATGTTACTTATAAGTTTCTAATAGCCGGCAAAAAAAAAAGAAAAAAATTAGATTTCATGAAAAGTGTGGATGATAAAATAATGACGGTACTAATGAGATTGTGAATAAAATTATAAATTGACTTTAATTTATTTATTTATTATTATTATTATTATTATTATTATTATTATTGTTATTATTGTTATTTCAATACTAAGAGTCTGTTTGAGAGTGATTTTAAAAATTGATTTTTTGACCGTAAGGGGAAAAGTGGAGTCCACTTGTGAGAAAAGAAATCAAATATGACGACTGAAATAGTGAAATAACGGTTAAAAAATTAATTTTTTTGGACAAAAAATCACTCCCAAACAAGCTATAACTAATGTAAGGAATATATAAAAATTAAATTAATTTGAAAATGATAGCTTTTCCATTTGCACATGCACATATTTGGTTGAACGCTTTAAAAATACCCAAACCGAACAGCGTCGTTTAATTCTTCAAGTCCCACGAATAGCTGCGCTCCCGGGTTTGGCTCCTCAGAGCGCCTGAGAAATTGCGTAAAGAGGTGAACATTCCTGTCAAAATTTCTCATATTTTGTGCAAAACCTATGCTGATTTCTTATTCCATGTATGAAAGATATGTAGGAGTGTGGATCTTAGTAAATTGCTCAAAAGCCAAGTCCATTTCATAATTGTTTGATTTCTTAAGGCTATTTTTAATGTTCTTAGTGACAATTATATCCTTGTTCTATGGAGCGACGTTCATCTATCTGAAGGTTGTGTTTTTTCATTTTTGGGTTTTCCCCTAATTATACTTCTATCGAACTTAGTTTATAATGTATATTTGTAATTTAATCTGCCGATAAGTATAAGGGTTTTGGTTAAAAACTGGTCTGGATGTAAAGCTTTCCCCCTTTTTACACGTGTGAATTTTCCTTGGTGGTTATCAAAATAAAATTATTTTGTTAACAAATTCTTGCTGCTCTTAATTCGGTGTTTTTCTTTTGATTTCTGTTATTTCAATCAAATTAGTTTTTGTTGGCTTAGACCAGGTTCATTTTGTGGTTATGTCAATGAAAATCTGGTAACATCATTAACAAGTGGCAAGCACATGAAGTTTTACTGTGGTAAGTATGGAGAGTTACTGAGCGAGTACAAGTCAATTTCTTACCTTGCTTCAATTAATTTGGTTTTTGGCCGAGTTTTCATGAAAACAAGTGTTGCTCTTTTTATCAAATTAGAGATACTTCTGATTATACAATATTTCTTCATTTGCCACTCAAAAACCTTTCATTTCCATGTGAACATTATTTCCTCCGCAAGTATGTTCACCCACTCTGCCCTAATACGGATAATATGAACATATATGTACACTCACCCTTTCATTTCCATGTGAACATATAGAGGCTCTATATGTTCTTGAAGGTGTAAAATCATTGTTTGGGAATTCTTTCAGTAAATGTGCATTCCTCTCTCTTTTTGGATAGGATGCAAAAATTTCTTATTCTCTCTTTCGATAAATCTGACGGATTACACGAATTTCTTTAATCTCGGGATATATTTTAAAGTATTTTTTGCCGGTATTCGTTTATTCATTTTATATAATTTAGGATCCACTAATTGATGTTTCTGACTGTATGTCTTAGAAGGAGATTAAATTATTTAATCTGCAAGAAGATGAATACTACTCCTAACAGAAGGTCACATGAAGATGGTAGCAATGGCAGTGGTAGTGGTAGTGGCAATGTGGGTGGTAGTGGCAGTCATAGTCACTCCTCTACCTTGAAATACCCACACGACGACCATGGCACATTCTCTAGTGTTGGCGGGAAGGTGGCAACATCAGCCAGGCATGAGTACCATGCTCCATATGATATGGGTCAGGATGCTCGGATGCCTAAGATTATGCCGCGAAATGAGTCACGTGATGCGGACAGGAGATCGCCAGTGCTTCCAAATATGTTGTTCAGGGTATCATCATCATCAAATGAGTCACATGCCGAACATGTTGTTGGTTTGGAGAGCAGGCTGGAATGGAGGGATTCCAAAGACTCTGACAAAGATGTTAAGGTTGAGAACCGTGATGTTATAGCTGAACCAAGGGAGTTGCACCAGAGTGGTAAAGGTGATAAGAATGTGAAGCACGAGAGTCGAGTTGATGATAATAAAGATGCAAAGCTTGAAAAGGACACTTTTCCAGAACATAAAGGTGACATGAAGCTGGATAAGGAGGGTTTTAATGGATCTAATAGTCACTTGAATTGGAAAGATTCTAAAGAACACCATGGTAAACAGTATCCTGATGCACCTGGAGGAAATGTGGATCCCTGGCATTCCTCACGTACCAATGTGCATGGTCCAACTGACTCAGCGAAGGAAGTCCCAAATGTTGAGGACAGGGACTTTCCTGAAGCTCGTGAAGCTGTTGGAGAGAACAAGGTTGATTTGAAAGGGGATGATAAGTTCAAAGAGAAAGATAGAAAGAGGAAAGAAGTGAAACATCGGGACTGGGGTGAGAGGGAAAAAGAAAGAGGTGATCGACGGAACAACTTGCAATTGGACAATACCAGTAGTGAGAACAAAGAGGTAGTAAGGGAAGATAGAGAGTCAGAGAGGTGGGGGAGTGAAAAGAAAGATCCTATGAAAGACAAAGAAAAACTGAATGACAGGACAAAGGATTTTGTGAAAAGGGAAGCATGGAATGGAGCCGAGAAAGATACTTCCCACAGCGAGAAAGAACAGATGGACATCTCTGGAAGATTTGCAGAACAGGAAAATTTGACACTAGAACTGAAGAAACAGAAAGATCTTGATAGCTGGAAGAGTATTGAGAGGGGTACAAGAGACAGGAAGAAGGATAGGGATGTAGACATTGAAGCAGAAAGACCTGATAAACGCAGTAGGTACCATGAAAAAGAATCTGAGGAAGGAGGTATTGATGACGAAGGGAGTACGGAAAGGGAAATAGATGCTTTTAATAGTGGAATTCAGCAGCGAAAGAGGATGCTTCGGTCAAGGGGGAGCCCTCAAATGGGAAATCATGAACCTCGTTTTAGGTCCCGCATTCAGGATATTGAAGGGTACGACTTCAATTTGTTGAATGAGAACATGAATTTTCAATTATTATGTTGAGATCTTTTCATGCTTTTTTATAAGTTTTATATTTATTAGGTGTACGCATTTATTTTATTGTTTATAATTCCCATATTGTTTCCAATTTTGGTATCTAAGAAGCTATTAGTGATATGTGATGTGTACTTGTCCAAAACAAGTGATGTTGCGTTATAGCAAAGGTATGTTAAAAAACTCTATCAGGTTTAATTGGTTTATGCCCATTCTTGGTGTCATTTTTATTATTATTATTATTATTTATTTATTTATTATTATTATTATTATTTTTTTTTTGCATGTGTGATTTGGTAAACAATGATCATGTGCACTTTTTTGCCCCCCTCCCCCCGATATCTACATTTCATTGACAATGAGAAGGGGGAATATAGCACATGTATATAAAGCAGATGAGAACTATCAACCTGTGATTTTTATGCAAATTTCCATATACTGTTTAAAGTTAAATTTAGGAACTTTTATCTTGTCTCCATTTTCTTACCAAAATTTCAATAAGTAATGAATGGCAGCTGAACTGAGTATCGTCCTGTTTCTGTTCTTGATATTTCTTTTATCTTTGTCAGGTTATGTTTGAGCCTTATGATAGAATTCCATTAAAGCATGTTTCGAATGTACTATATTTCATTGGTACTCTGTAAATGATGTCATTAAGTATTAATCAGGCATAAATCGCTGTTTTCTTAATACAACATGGCCTTCCAAACCAAAATAAAATAAAATAATAATAATAACAAAAAAAATCTTATATCTCTTGCTCTTCAAAGTTTATCTCCATTAAAATTCCTTTATTTTGAAGTTTGAATATGGCAATGTATAAGTTTATCCGGCTGACTATGAGGAAGTTGTGGACCATTGGCCTGGGTGACTGCAATAGTAATCATCTACATACTTCGTATACTATATGCAGTTGATACAATGTAAAATGTATTCATTGCATTTTGTTTACTATTTGACAAGATACACTTTTATTGCTACTACTTTTTCATGCTTCTGTTTCACATGGTTTGAGAGCCAACAAAGTAGGAAAATGAACACTGAACAGTGTTGTGAGTCGAACTTGAAACCTTTAGTGTCAGGGTTTTAGGCTCAATTCTTTTAACACTGTATGAAGACCTCATTGGTACTTCTTGTCGGGGCCCCCAAAGACAGATGCCTTTTGGTAATTATACTGTGCCATATTAAAACGCAATCTTTAAATATTTAGAGATAGAAGCAAAGTTGTTGAGGGGATCTAAACTTACCTTAACATTTCAAGTAAAACCTGCACCGAGATTAATTATTCTGATACTACACATGATTACTGTAAACATAGATTTGGTTCATGAAGTTGAGGTGATTAATGCTATGAATTTGGATTTAGTCAATATCATAAGGTTTTTTCTTTAGGACATTGCTTGAACTTTCTTGGCACTCATCAAAACTAGAAAGAATTGTAGAATAGCAAAATAAAAAAGTCCATTACTGTTTGCTATCAATCAATACTGTAATGGACAAATTATGACTTGGAAACAAAATTCTAGATGTGTTTTGTACAACATATAAAAAAGTGGGATTTCTTCTGTTACAAATGCGCTGGGAAAAATATGCAGTATGCATTAAATAAGTGGGGTCCTTTTCTTTCCTCATTGAAAAAGGACACGTAGCCTAATCTCGAAAGATCCACCTTAAGACAGCTGTTTCTGGAGTGAAAGTTTGTAGAGTCTGAACCACTTAAAGGGACCTAGGGTTTTCTGCTCATTGTGACTACAACGTCCTGTTTCTCTCAGTAGCATTATGCACTGGCAAGTTCATTTTCCCACTTTTATTGAATGCTTAAATGGTTTTGATTTTTGGTGTGTATTGAATTATGCTCTGAAATGGTTCTTCATTTTGGTCTTTAAAATTTGTCTAGAAAATTGATATACACATGCAAACTTTTTGTTTACAGTTAAACACAGGGGAGGGGGAGAGGTAGAGGGGAGAGGAGGGGAGGGGAGGGGAGGGGAGAAGTGTTGCATTAGTGATGCTGGTTATAAATTACGATGTTATGCCTCTAAATGTTGTAGTGGTTTCTTATACCCATCACCTAATTTTTAGATTAACGAAATGAATTTTTTACTTATTGCTTCTTGAGTTCATTGAATGAGTGTGTTTTGCCATCTAAGAGCTGCTAATCCAAATGGAGAAAATGTATAATGTTTAATCTGAAAGTTTATAAATGCTTTATGCATGGTACGTTCTTGATTTTTTCTACTTCTATTTTTACATTTTTTCCCCATCAAACTACAGGTATCACAGTTTATAAAATGAAATGAGTATTAATTGGTGATTTATCTTATTAATAAGTTCTAGTGATCCTGTGCTTTCTCTTTTCACAAATGGAAGTCATGTTAACATTCACTGGAGAATGGTTGTTACATTTTTGAGCTACTCTGTGTCCACCCCAAATGGCAATACACTAACGAGCCCTCCTTGGATACTTAGTATCATTTCACATTCTGTAAAATTGTAGCTTTCCTTTCTTCTCGTATATGATAAATAAATTGTTGTTATAATCTGGATAATTTTGCGTATCTTTTTATTCACACCTGCTATTTTATTCTTCTAACCAGGGAACTTAATAGATTCTGATTATTGAGTAATCCATATTAATTGCTATATTCTGTTATTGTAATGTTGGAAAAATATTGGCTTGCTATGTTTTCTGATTTTCTTCTTGATCCGTTCAGTACAAAGTTGGATTATATGATCCATTAGAAGAAAGTTCCTTGATTTGGGTTGAAATGATGGGCTTAACCATTTTATGTTTTAATTTTATGCAGGTCCCAAGGTAAGCTATCATTTCATGTCCAGCAGGAACTCTTATGTGGTATTATTAGACAGGAAGTTCTTCTGTTCACCTGTTTTGTATTAGCTGAATTTACTATCACTGAACTTTTGTATTAAGCTATACACACTATTCATTGGTTTTGATATCAATCTATTGCTTATGAGACAGTAAGAATAGTTGTTCTTTATCAGGGACATGAGATGTGATGCAGATGTCGTTTTGTCAATATTATTGTGAAATTAGAATTAGAATTTCTCAAATGTGAGAAATGTAATCTGGAAGAATTCAGGATGCAAAGGTTCTGCATAAAAATGTTTGTTAAGATATAGTTTTCTAATGCATATACTTCATCTTCTTTTTAATTCTGTGCAACTAGCTATGTGGTTCCTGGTAACCGTTAACATTATTGTTCTTGCAAAGTACTTCTTGCCTTCTGGATTAGTTATGGTGAACATGCTTTTTCATTTAGCTTTGCCCTAGGGACGTGTAATTGTTATTTTATTCTACACTGCCAAATGGTCTTGTGAAATGCTTATTGTTGCCTTCTGGATTAGCCATCAGAAACCTTTCCCTGTTTGCTTCGTTGTGCGAACATGTAATCGTTATTTCATTCTTATTTACAATTTGTTTTCGCAAAATGATGCTTGTTGTCTTCTGGTTAGTTATCAGGAACATGCCTTTTCAGTTTGCTTTGCCCTTGGGTTATGTAATAAATATTTCATTCTAGGTTTACCTTTTTCTGAATATCTACCATGTTTTGTTAATCCAATCTTTATTAATTTCATATGATTTGCTTATATGTTTTTGACTTCGTGAATGATTACTTCTTGAGGGGATAGAAGCCATTCACTTACACAGTTCATTTCCACTTGAACCACTACTTTATAAGGCATTTCTCTCAGTGTCCACATTTCTGCCTCTCCTTGACAAGAACTCTGATTTCATGTGCATGTTGTTTTAGCTGTCTAACATCACTTCACTGGATTCTGAGTTCTATTTTTAGTTGCATTTTTTCCTTTTGATTTAGTGTCTAGAGTAATATCATACATTTTATGAGAAAATCTTAATTTCTTTGTTAAAAAGTATATACCAGTGTTTACTAAACTACAATGAGTAAACTTGTGGGTAAAATTTTTTATGTTTGGTCTATTTAACCCAATCATGTGAAAATATATCTATTTAACCCAATCATGTGAAAATATATCTTACTTTCATCAGCAAAAATGGTTTGCAGGTTTTAAAACATTTTAAAAAGTTGTTTTTATAATTTTTTATCTTTCAAATTCAGCTTGATAATTCAAAAAAAATAACAACTGCTAGGATTTTCTGTTGTAATTCATGTTTAAAAAAAAAAAAAAAATTAGAAGTTGTAATGAACTATTCATGCTGTGTTGAATGTAAGTTATTATGTTGGATCATCAGGGCCACAGGAGCTGCTGACTCCACGTTTTTAGCTTCATAATTTTCGTTTATTTTGTCCCATTTTCTGTTGAATGCTTTTCACGAATTTTGATTACATGTCTGCTAGTGGAGTGGTCCTGAAATGTCAATAGCTCCAGTTATTGTTTCTTTCAGTGTAACAACAAAGTAAGTTCTCATGCCAAAGCTATTGAATTTCCTTCCTAGTTGGATATATCATAGTAGGGTAACATCTTTTTGAGGAGAGTTTGCATTGTGTTAATATGATGTTAGGAAATATAATTTCTGACATCCTGTCCTCTGGACAAGAAAGAGAAAAAAATTCCAATGGGATTAAGTGGTGGGCCTGGTGGCACGATAGGCAATACATTCACATGTTCCATACTTGGCAATATCAAGTCTATAATGTTTAAGCAGGCATTTTTTTTTATACTAATGTTTAAGAAGTTTATAATTTATTTGATGGTCATTTATCAATTTCAAGTGGACATTTATGGGACATTTGGTTTCAAATCAGAAACAGCGTTTACTATATGTAGCTGTGATAAGGATTCTAATATATTTCTGTATTGAATATGTTCTTTAAGGCCAGACAGAAATCTCATCTCATTGAGTTAGGCGCTCCTAAGCTTCCTAAGAGATGGTTTTCTTGCCTTAATTTAAAGAACATATATTTAAATATATGATTTTCTCCCATAGTGATTAAAAAATACACATAAATTTCATATAACTGGTCTTTGAATCTAAATTAGAATAGTTTTTATGATATAGATAGAGCTACTGGTTTTCACGAATGATTTACTTATTAATTATGCAATCTTCATTATATGAATTTTTTATGATTCTGTGGTGTTACCATACAGGTAAGGCTGATGTGTCTTGTGTTGTTTACAAAATTGGTGGATGCATGCAAGAACTGTTAAAGTTGTGGAAGGAATTTCAATCATCACAAGCTGATAAAACATGTGAAAGCTCTCAAAATGGTCCTACTCTTGAAATTCGGATACCAGCTGAACATGTTACTGCTACTAATCGCCAAGTAAGATCATGAATTATTTATTCCCTTTGCTATTACATTCAGTTAATTTTCCATCTATTCCTCCCATCTAAAATACATGATTTACTGGAAAGGATGCAGAAAATGTATTTTTCCCTACTTGTGCATGCAGTTTCAAGATACTGATAGAAAGATTTTCTTTGCATTTATTTAACTGTACAATTTTCTTGGATGGAAGTAATTGATTTTTCATGGTTGGAATCTTGGTACCCACCCATCTAGCTTCTTAATTTTAGATGTATCCAAGTAACTCATAGCTACATAATTGTGTTGAGTTCTTCTTCATCTTGGAAACTACTCGAACTAAAGTTAATCGAGTCCTTTCTTGTCTACTTCATTTATGCTAGTTTTGGTTTTTCCCATTCTATACTATTAAATGGGCGTAAGAGGATGGATTCTTGAATTTCCTGAAATGGGCANAAGAAGGTTTTTGATGGATGTTTAATGTTAATGTAAATTGATGGAGATTGTAACTAATAATATTTTAGTAAAAGAAATTAGAATTTATCCTGAAGGATTTTCTTTCATTTTATTGTCTTTCTCCCTCCCTCCCCTCTTTTTGCCCCCTTTGCCCCTAATTTCTTCTCCCTTGTTTCTTCTTTTATCTTATTGGACAATGATTATTATTATGTGCGTACTGTTCGAAAACTGCCCATATTTTGTTGTGCCTTTCTATCCCTGCAATTTTTAGTTTGACCTACTGCAATGAACTATGGGCAACTAAAAAAAGTCTATCTGCTTGAAGTCAAACAGATGAAGTTTTTCATGTTCCAGTTTACTACATGAAGTGACCTAGAGCAACTATTTAATCAGTCCTTTTCTTGGAAATGATTTCTGTTTTATTTCTTGTCTAGTCATGATTTATCCTTATATGGCCCTACAGAATTTACTTGTTTCATCTCCGTTTCTTAAAGTTTTTTTGGTATATTCCTCGTTCTCCTGATTGATGGATTATTCAGGCTATTTACCCACATTGGACTACAAAGCCTCCCCACCCCCCACCCCCCCCCCCCCCCCCCCCACCCCCAC